TGAGGAATCTTTTAGAAAACATAAATCTAGTGCATTAGGTTTAAACAGTATAATCAAGTGTAAAGTCAGATATTTTTTGTAATGTAACAATATTGTGTCTTTCAGAATACAGTAAAGCAGAAAGCACTGAGAGTGTTAAAGCAGAAGCGAATGTAAGTTGAAGCCTTTCTCAGCTTGTGATTAATAAAAGCCTTTTTTCTTTAAGGAGGGGTGGCACACTTTCATCTCTCTTTCCAGTACTCTTCTGAGCATTCTTTAAAGAAAAATGCCTTTAAAGAACAAGCCTTTCAGAAGCATCTTACAGATTTTGCATCAGCATTTAAATGTCAGTCTATAAATTTATATTGGTACAAGGTGACTGAAATCTGCTCATTAGTGTAGCTGTGTTTGGCTCCTAAACATTCTGAGAGATTGCCTCATTTTATATTATTAATTGGTTACTGTACATTGTGTACTTGAAGACCTAGCTCTGGTTTATTGGAAATTTACCTGTTCTCTGGGGACACCCTTGAGGACTTGAGCAGATGTAGCCAAGGTAATTGTGTTTATGCAAATAAACCAAAACGGACAGGCTGGGTGATCATGTGCTCTGGTCTTGTCTAATATACTGTCTTGAAAAGTATCTTGAACAGATCCAAAGAAAAGATGTCAGAACAAAGCGAGTATTCGTGAATGTTTCATTGCAGTATCTTACAGTCCATGAACTGCAAGTCTTAGATGCTATCTGAGCCAAAGCCAAAGCTTGTGTCATCTTGTATTTCATGTCCTTCAGATAAATTGTACCTTTATAGATTTACTCAATTACTTGTTAAGTATTTGTGAACTCTTACCATCCAAAATATCATATGGCAAGGAATGCAATAGTTCAGTTAGATGTTGTGAGGAGGGCTTGATTTTGTGGTTTACATTTTGATTTTTTTTTTCTGTATTTTGACTGTGCTGCCTGTTAATCTTCCTTGCTAGTTGTTCCTCTATTTACAGTTACCAGGCCCTTCATAATAGGCTATTGTCATATCCCTCAGTCATCTTTTTTCCCTCTTGTTGAACAGTAATGCATTTAGCTATTAGTTGTCCAGAAGATTTTGTATTTGGATCATCCTTGTCTTGCAGACCTCCCACTTTGGATGTTTGAAGGACTCATTGTTCATTTTTATGCTTTTGTTCTTTTGCTTAACTTGACGTAGTTTACATTCTTGATTTAATACAAGTTTACCTTGGAGAAGGATGGTTTCTTGATTTTTAAAATCTCCCTTTTGTTTTTGGTTAGCCTTAATGGTTTCCTTTTGGTACCCTATCCTCCCCCTCCTCCCTGCCCTGCAAAGCTCCAGTGCAGAGCCATTGTAGTTTGGATAACCTGGCAACTCTTCCATTCTTCTTAGAGCATTAGTGAGCATGGCATGCATTGTCAAGCTTATGGTGATTAAACTCCTCCTATTATGCTCACCTACTCCTAGGCAAATTTGGTGTTGCTGTCAGTTAAAACAGAAGCTTAGTTCAGGAATAGCTTTGTCAGCTTCAAATAAACAGAAATGCATAATGGCTAGATTCTTATGAAGCTGTTTATTCTGCAGTTGTTTATGATAAATGAAAAACACCCCAAATCTGTTCCTATGTTTAGACTACTTCTGCTGATTTTTCAATTATTTAAAAAAAATTAAGAATGTTTGCGGTAATAATTAGTGTGGTGTTTTAAAGCCATTATTTGTATTGTTTTTAACAGGTATGAACAACAGAGGGATAATCTGTCACAGCAGTCTTTTAATATGGAACAAGCTAATTACACTATTCAGGCACTGAAGGATACAAAGACAACGGTACCAGTTTATTAATCTCACAGTTGTTTAATTTGTGTGTACTACATCAGATACAAGCATGTGGTCTGACTCTCTTTTAGGTGGATGCAATGAAACTGGGGGTGAAAGAAATGAAGAAAGCATACAAGCAAGTCAAGATTGATCAAATTGAGGTGAGCTTCTATAGTTAAATGATTAAAGAACAGAAATAATGTACTGAAATAGTGGTGAGTGGACTATTAACTTGAAGGTTAATAGTCCACTATTCCTGACTATTTTAGTTGGCTTTTTTTATGGGACCACCATCGTAATCCCTTCCTGATTTTTCTGGTACTGCGTAATCAGTTGTTGGCCTTATTGTACTGATTATTGTTTCCTTGCTGAGCTAATCTTTGAACTTTCCCTTCTCTCCCTTCCTCTCCTCTGCACTTCAGCATAAATGTTAGTAGATACTTCCTACTATGGCTTTTTTTGTCCTTTTTTTTTTCCCCCCATGCAGATTAGACCTTTACTCCCCCAGTTTAAGAAAGTGCCTGATTAAAAAGAACAAAACCTAAAAGCAAAAAAACCCAATCAAACAAAAAAAATGTAATTTCAAGAAATCAGCAAGGCCTGGCCCTGACTTCAGACAATGTATAACCCCCCCGATAAGATCATTAAATATAATTTCAGAAATGCTGCACTTAAGCTCTTATCCAATGCCAGTGCTGAATTCCTTCAAGTTCTCTTTCCTATGCAGTTATGTGGCCTGCATTGTAAACCTTTAGGCAACTATTGTCTCCTTACTTGTACCCAAGTACAGTGCCCATAAGTGTGCTAAAGTATCTTCTAAATTTTGCTGTGGCACAACTTAGCTTAATGCTTATTTTCCAGATGGTAGATTTAATTTGTCTAGATTTCATAGCTTTTCTGCTTTTCAAGATAATGGTGGACTGGCTAATTTATTAGAGGTTTTTAGTTTTCCCTGAAGAATACTTCAAACAAAAGGATTTTGCAGAGATGTTTCAAGGTTCCTCTTTTTCTATCTCATACATTATAATTTTAATAGTAGTTAAAGCCACATTAGCACTGAATGCATGTGCCTTGACTTGTATTAATGCTGCTTCAAAAAAATGGTTTAGGCATTAAAAGAATTGAGTGCTTTGTATGTTGGAATTACTAAACAGAATTTGATTAAATATGGACCAATTGAAATTAATTGTTGCTTCAGGACATACAAGATCAGTTGGAGGATATGATGGAAGAAGCCAATGAAGTCCAGGAGGCACTGAGTCGTAGCTATGGAACACCAGATATTGATGAAGATGATTTGGAAGCAGGTGAGGAAAGGAGAGGATGATTTTTTATATTCCTAAATGTAAAAATCATCATACTGTCATACAGTGAGGTTTAATTTGATAAGTCAAATGCTTTAAATGTATTTTTTAAAAATTGTTTTTTTTAAACATTAAATCTGCATTTCCTTTAAGAGCAATAACAAGAGCATGAGACAAGCATGAGGTACTCACCAATGGAATGCTGCAGGGCAGGGAAAGAGGTTCTCTCTAGTGTGTATGTGTGTGTGTGTATTTCTGACCGATGACTAATGCTAAATAAGTCTGAATGTAAGCATTCAGTATGAACCGTGTTTCTTTGTAAGAGCAGCTTTTCTTTTGCAAAAGGAATTCCTTGCATAATTTTTCAACCAGCATAATTCACTTTCAGAACTGGATGCGTTAGGTGATGAGCTTTTAGCTGATGAAGACAATTCCTACTTAGATGAAGCCGCATCTGCACCAGCAATCCCAGAGGTCACTCCTACAGACACAAAAAACAAAGTGAGTCCTTTGCTTTTTAAAAGCGAATTACATTTTTGTTTGCTTGTTTTGAATTAATCACATTTGTGTTGGTTACTTTATATTTGGGACCATTAATATTTTGAACAAAAAAGTGTGCTTAATGTTTTATGTATTTTGAATACTACATATGACAGAATACAGGTACAGGAATGCTCTTAATTATATTTAAAGAAAATAACTAAAATGGCATTTTGTAATTCCTATCAAACATTTTCAGACTGCAAGTATAATTTAAGTGTACCGTTACAACTCTAGTAATAGTTATTCTTAAAACCGTAAGAAAGTCTTCTCTATGTTTGCTTTTGGGGATTTAATAGAGCTTCATATGGAGGAAGTACACTTTGATTCCAGCTGTCACACAGTGACAAGTGCAGATATAGAAACTTTATAGAAATGGTAAGGAAACATTTGTGAAACGTTCTGGTTGGTAGAGAGTTGTTAACCCATTCTTCTTCTTTCTTACAGGATGGTGTATTGGTGGATGAATTTGGATTGCCAAAGATCCCTGCAACATAAATGTTTCAAAAGCACAATGGATATAATGAACTATACTTTACAAATTGTTTGTTTTTTTTTTTAAATCCTGGAGAGCTTGTCCTTCCAGTGTAACCTTAATATCACTACATCCTAGAATGCAATATGAATGGCTGGTGGTGTTCTTTCTTTGAAGAAAGTTGTTCTGCTACTGACTTTTCTGTTAATGGAAAACTCATCACAATTCCCTTCGGTGGAAGCAGTCAGTCTTACAGGTTTTGATTTCCGTGTCTAATGGACAAAGTAAAACGTGAAGAGTAGTGGTGGCTGTTGATAGCTGAGGTTTATTTTGACTTTGTATTATGTTTCTCTTTCTTGAGACTAAGACTGTATGTTGCTGCTTACTCTCTGTAAAATAGCTCCCTTATTACTATGCTTATTTGATAAAAGAACTCAACGCAATTTTTAAACTACCGCAGTCTCGAGACTTTTATGCGACTGTACTTGTAACCTTTCAGAAAACTGTACCAAATCGGGTCGTCGTTAACTTTATGTATTCTATGGAGACATAAAACCACGTAGATTAGCAGATCCCTCTGTGTGGTGTTTTTGGTAACTGATTTGGTCTTTCAGACGGGGCGGGGGCAGGTTATCAGCGCAGTGTGTAGCACGAGCACAGGATTTGCCAGAGGCGGGGTCTGGATCTGATCCCAGAAGCATCTAGGGTGGCAAATAAAACCCGTCCCGTTTACGGCAGGGTTGCCCCGGCCGTACCCTTGCTGCTTGGGGGGGGAGGAAAGCAATACCGGCGCACCGGGAAGGCGGCATTCCCCTTTTCCTGGTGCGGAAGTGACGTGCTACGGGCGCGCCCCGGGAGGTGCCGCCGACGCTTCCCTGTGCCGGGGTGAGATGGCTGCGCCCGGAGCGCCGGTGACCGTCACCGTCACTTACAGTAAGAGCCCCGGGACAGGGGAGCGGCCGGGGGGCTCGGCGGCGGGGGCTCCGGCCGGCTGTTTCGGTGTGCAGGGCGGGGCGGGCGGGCCGCGGCTGCCCCGGCGAAGCGGGGAGCGGCCGGAGCTGGCTCGGCCCCGCTCGGCCCGCTCTCCATCCCGACTGCTGCCATAAGGTTTCGCGCCTTGCTGGCCACCGCTTCCAAGTGTCTCTCTCCGGCTGGATCGCAGGCGTAGACCTGCTGTGAGGGGGGATAGTGGGAGCAGGGGACAGGGCGGCCTTTGCCAGGGAGCGCAGAGCTGGGGTCGGTGGGGGGCAACGGGGATGATCGAGGAGCTGGAGCATCTCTCTTACGAGGAAAAGCTGAGGGAGCTGGGCCTGTTCGGCCCCGAGAAGAGACAACTGAGAGGGGACCTTGTCAATGTGTATGAATGTGTAAAGGCGGGATGCCAACAGGATGGATCCGGGCTCTTCTCGGTGGTGCCAGGCAATAGGACAAGAGGCAATGGGCAGAAACTGATGCAGAGGAAGTTCCACCTGCATACGAGGAAGAACTTCTTTACTGTGAGTGTGACTGAGGACTGGAACAGATTGCCCAGAGAGACTGTGCAGTGGTCTTTTCTGAAGATATTCAGAAGTCATCTGGACACAATCCTGTCCCATCTGCTCTAGGATGGCCTTGCTGGAGCAGGGAGGTTGGACCAGCTGACCCACTGTGGTCCCTTCCAGCCTGACCCATTCTGTGATTCTATTGTTCGGTAGTAATCTTCATTTAGATGCAATATATTGCTGAAGTCAGCACTGCATGTTAAAGGCAGATGCTACCTGATAGGTTTTCTTCTTCTTTGTTGAAAAATACTTGGATGTTTGCTGCTAGTGGGCTGCAAGACTGCAACAGAGAGTGTGGTTTCTTCAGTATGACAGATGGGTGCTGACCTGGTGGAATGGGTCACTCAAAGGCCGGCTTACACAGTTGAGGTTTTTTCCCTCAAAAAAAGAAATATGAGGAGGGAGAAGGAGGTGGAAGGGAAGATGGTCTTATATCTGCAAAAAAATATAAAAAGTTAGTGTGAAGAGGTGAGAATAGCCCTGACTCCACAGTATGGAGATACCATGGTTAAATTTTGGTGAAGTGAGACAGTAGGAGGACTGAGGAGGATAGTAAGGTATTAAATCAGCAAGGTATTCTGCTCATTTTTGTTAGCAAAACTTGTTAATTTTTTTACTAGATTTTTTTAAATTATTGAATAATAAATTCAGCCTGTGTTCCTTTTGCACCGTGCTGGTGATGTTCTTTCCATCTTTAGAGTTTATTTCTGCTTGCTCATTCATGTTTTCAAATTGTTATGTTATTTTGTTAAAATGTTTTATTTATCACCTGGTAGTTTTATTTAAGAGTCTTTGGTGAGGAACTTTGTGGAATAATATGTTTGAATTGTCATTATTCATGTGCTCGTTGATGCCTTCAGAGAGCTCCATTTGGTCTGAGGGGTTTTCATTTGCAAAGATGTCAATAACTTAATGATATTGACATATTTATAATTCCAACATCTTGCTCTTTGCCATCAGTCATCTTATGTGAGAATATTTTCCTCTTTCCTATTTTTTCTTACCTGATAATTACTTTGTCATTAATAAATAGCAAATAGAAGCCATTGTTCACCTTGGGCTTCAGCTGGCTGATTTACACCTGCTGCTGTCAGATGCTGGTTTAACACTTTGCACAAATGTTTTTAGTAAAGTTTTGCATGCATGAGTGAAAGTGGGGAAAGATGCAAAGTAGAGTTGAGAAACAGAACAGCAGTAGACCCATATGCATCACTTCACAATCTGCAAGTATGGAGGGTTGACCCTGGCTGGATGCCAGGTGCCCACCAAAGCCACTCTGTCACTCCCCTCCTCAGCCGGGCAGGGGAGAGAAAATAGAAGGAAAGGCTGGTGGGCTGAGATAAAGGCAGGGGGATATCACTTACCAGGTACTGTCACGGACAAAACAGACCCGACTTGGGGAAAAGTAGTTTATTAACATTCAAATCAGAGTACAATAATGAGAACTAAAAGAGAAAAACTCACCTTCCTCCACCCCTCTCTTCTTCTTGGGCTTCGCTTTCGTCCCAAATTCTTTTAACTCCTACCCCCTGAGCAGTGCAGGGGAAGGGAGGCTGTGGTCAGTTCATCACACTCTGTCTCTGCTGCTCCTTCTTCCTCACACTCTTCCCTTGCTCCAGTGTATGAGTCCCTCCCATTGATTGCAGTCCTTCAGGAACAGGCTGCTCCAGTGTGGGTTCCCCACAGGGTCACAAGCCTTGCCAGCAAATCAGCTCCAGAGTGGGCTCCTCTCTTCAGAGAGCCGCAGGTCCTGCCAGTAGCCAGCTCCAGTGCAGGCTTCCCAAAGCGGCCATAGCCTTCTTAGGGCATTCACCTGCTCTGGTGTGTGTCTCCTCCACAGGCTGCAGGTGGATCTCTGCTCCACTGAGGACCTCTGTTGTGAATTTACAGTAATTTTTTTTTTACAGTCTGCCCAAAGTGGTACTTATAATTTCTAATTAAACTGGTTCTCTAGTTAGACAGGCTTCATCTGTTCTTCTCCTCAGTTAATGCTTGTTTTTGTTTTTTTTCTCAACTACTCATAGGCAGAGCCCTTATGCAAAGCAGTTGTATATCAAAACAACTGTTTGAAATATTTAAGATTGTGCTTTGTGGGATTTTTTTTTCCACAACAAATCGGGAAGTTCTGTTTATGGAAAATGCTTCAGTGAGGGGGGCATAATGTAATTTTAAGCTTAAAAATGTCTTAGAATTAACAAGTATTGTTAAAGCTTTAAAGTTTTTGAGGCCACAGTGTCACTTTTCATGTGACTGTGGGAGGCTGGAGTATTTTAATATCAATATTAATATTAATCTTCTTTATCAAAGATACATGCATTTAAAATTAGTGGCATGAGAATAGTTTTATTTCTGGTATTTGCTCAGGACTTTTCCTGCAGAGTAAAAAATGCCTGTCTTGATTTCCCATGCAACCAGTGATGGTTGATTCCTGTGGGTGCTTTCAGATTGACAGATCTTAAATGCATGGGAACAGAGGGTTATAGAAAGGGTCTGTTGCAAAGCAGAGATTAAAAGGCATACTCCTTTTTTCCTAAGAACTTCCTCCTTACTGCATGCAAGTAATCTTAGGGAGTCTGAATAGGATGCTCCATAAGTGGATTGTGACAGATAAGCTGGGACTTCTCAAAGTGGTTAAGGCTACTTATCAGTAGTATTATGGGGAGAAGTAGTTTTTGGACTGTGAGAATTCTGTCTATTTGGTGTGGAGGCAACACAGGGTAGACACTGATTGCTTGTTTCTCACGTATGAGGAGTGGGGAGCAAAGGAACTGATAAATTGTCTCAGATACCAAGACTCATGCTATTAAAAGTTCCTACAAGTGGGAAATGGGATACATCAGTAAGGTGTGGGCTTTCATGCTTCAGCTTGTGGAATGTCTGGACACTATCTGTACTCTTAATAGGAGTAATATTTAGCGGGAGCATTATGCCAGTAAAATACACCCAGTTGAAATCTTCAGATTATTACAGTGTAAACCAAAACTTTCAACTCAGGTCAGTCACTCCAAGAGGAAAGATTGAAAATTATGATTGTACATGAGAATCAGTGGTTTGAGAACTTTTTGCATTAATGGAAATAAATATTAGAAATGGATTTTCTGTAATGTTTCCTAGGTATTTCTAGGTATTACTGTTAATCTATTTTTCTGTTAGGCAACGAAAAACACAGTATTCAGGTTGCTTCTCAACAAGAAGACGGTGAACCTACACTACAAGACATGGCTGTACTTATTGAACAAGTCACTGGAGTTCCAGTTCCCTTTCAGAAACTGATATACAAAGGTAACTTATAAATCTGCAACATTTCTTATAGATGATAAGATTTCATCTTAGTCGGTTTCAAGTGTCAATGTTTTGAATGTCTTCAAAAAGACATTCTTATGCCACTAACCGTACTTTAGCTGTTTTTTTTTCTCTCTTCGTTTTTCATTTAGGAAAGTCTCTGAAAGAACTGGAACAACCATTATCAGCACTTGGCGTTAAAAATGGTTGCAAAGTCATGTTGATTGGGAAAAGGGTAAGTGTTGCCTTTGGACCTTTTTTTTCCTTAAATTATTGTAATTTTTGTCAGTAAGTCAGATGCTGAACACAGAAACAGGTTACAGCATTAACCTAATTTTGTATACCTATCCACAAAATTGAATTCAATCTCATGTTACCCTGCAAATAACTGCAGTTTGTACATTTCTGAAATTACATTATTGACTGGCTTCTGCTTTACGTTATTGACAAGACTTTGCGTAATCTATTGTCAGCGCTCATGAACCTTCTGTGCACCGATGACCTTATCTGCTCATCTTTTTTTTTCTGGTTTAAAAAAAACCTCCCCCAACTGTAGCTACTGAGTCTGCTGGGTTATTTCTGGTGAAAGGACTTGTGGCTGGCTTTGCCAAGTAGAGGACAAGGTAATAATCTTGTGATGTAAATGCTACCTCTACTTTAAAAATGCTAAGTTAACAATAAGAAAAAAAAAAAAGTTTGCACTTTTCCTTTTTCCCTTCAATTTAATTTCATTTAGTGTGTTTATATACCTTACTCTTCTAGTATTTGTAATTAAGCTTTGGAAGAAGCTTATTCATGAGAATTTACATATTCTCAAATATGAAAAGAATAGCCACAGTGTAGTATGTAAACCAACAGAAGCCTTTATGTCTGTATTGCCACTGCTGCTGCTTTTTAGCTGCATCGTGTATCCACTTGTTCCATAGTTGTGAATATTGTACTTTTGAATACACAGAATAGTCCAGAAGAAGAGGCTGAATTAAAGAAGTTAAAAGATTTGGAGAAGTCAGTGGAGCAAATAGCTAATAAGTTAGAGGAAGTTAATAAAGAGTTCACAAGTATCCAGAAGGTATGCCAGTTTTGTATCACTTTATATCTTTGCAAAACAGTTTTGTAGGTATATGTATTAAAAAAACCCAACCAAAACAGTTTAAAGGTTTTGAGTAGTCAGTAATAGGCTGTCCCTCCTAACTGTCCAAGGGTCCTGTATAATTCTTAGTGAACTTCAAATGCCATTTATGAGTTTGCAAAATAGAGACATGGCACTCTTTGGAAAAAGGTAAATTTTGTTTCATGTGGGATAAATTATATTCTTTATATCTGGAAAATCATTAAAGAATTCACTTAAAGTCCAAAGTTATCTGTTACTTGTTTATCTTTTAAGTAAACCTAGCAGATCTTACATTTACCATGTCAAGGATTAATAGAATACAGATTGAGATTGGAGTCCCTACCATGCTTGAAACTACACAAATAGTAAATGATGTTTTCTGCCGTTGTGGATTGGCAGATCTTCTAAGATGAGTATTCTGTAGGGTATGGGATAATTTTGTTTTTCCTTCCTCAGGGATTTTTAGCAAAGGAGCTCCAAGCAGAAGCACTAAAACAGCTGGACAAGAGGATAAAAGGAACTGCAGAGCAGTTCATGAAGACCCTGGAACAGATTGATGCCATTGTAAGTAACTAACCACAGAGGAGGGTCAAATCCCAACAGAAATTTGCTGTTAAGAATATCTTATAATTTATTTGATATTTAAACATACTAGATATTTTAGTTTGGCTTTGAAAATTAGTTAGTTCCTTTGCTCATTTTGTCAGTCACATGTGGATTGACTACTTTTATCTGAGATGTCTGCATATTGAGGACTGCATCATTTCTTTGGAATGTACTGGGGTTATATCCAAGTGCTTTACAGTCATTAATGGATCATAACCTTAACATTTCCAGAGTATAATATATGTCTTCCTGTATCGTGTAGTAGCTGAGAGCTGGATGAGAATAAGGGACTTGTACAGAGGTAAATAGAAGATTGTCACAACCAGGGTGTTTCTTGTGAAAGTGGAGCAGCCACTAAGTATAATCAGTGTCCTTCAAAATTTGTAACAGATGTTTGTTACTTTGTTGTATAAGAGCCTATGACATTAATAAACCTCATTTTTTTTAAGAAATATGTGAGAGTTTTCATTATCACTGATTGAAGTTGCATACTTATTTGTTTTCATATACAAAGCTGGCTGTGGGGTTTGTCATGAAAACTGGACTTCTGTGAAATCTTGCAGATGTAGGTGGGTGGAATCTTAAAATGCAGGTGTTCAGTGTGCTGGTATTACACCAGATCAGATGAACAGGCCACCAGCCAACTGAGGTAGTATTTGACTGTACTGCAGTTGTGCAATATACGGAGGCAGCAATAGGGAATGGTAATGAGGTATATATAGGAACAATAAATGGGTTCCACTGAAGTAAAAAGTGGTAAACAGAAATGCAAAGCAGTAAAGTGTAAAGCTTCCAGAAAGGGTTTTGTCTGTATCTTAGAGCTGGTAGCCAATTAAAAGCAAAAGTTCAGAAAAATCTGTTAAATGCTATTGAACATGTAGAGGTGCTATTGATTCAATCAACAGCATGTTAAAAAATTAAAAGGAGAAAAATATGACTGACTGAGAAGAATGGATGATGCATTGTAAAAGTGGAACACTCTAGCAAGCTCACACTGTAAATGTTCTAGTTTTTTTCTTTGGCAGAATCATTCTGAAAGCTCATTAAAATGTTTTGGCTTTCGTGTGTTATTTGGATCACTCAAAACTGAGTAACTTGATACAAAATGAGATTTGGATGGTTACAGAGGTGAGGAAGCCTGCATATTGTTTCTTACTGTTAGCAGGCAAGCTCGTTAATTAGAGGCACTGAGTTTGGAACTAATACTCAGTTTTGCTAGGCTGTGTGTGTTCAACAACTATAAATTTAAAAGAAGGGATTTGGGGAGAAGTAAGTTTGTAGTCCTACCAGTATTGGAGTGTGAGAGAAAAAAATACAATGTTGTCACTGCCAGAGGTGTGAAAGAAAAGTCTTGAAGGGATGCTTTTGAGTAGGGTAGCTGTAACTTAAACATTTTAACATGTTTAAATAGCTACTGCTTCCACCACAGCAAAGGTGGAGGGATGTTAGGCACATCTTACAAATTTTTAATGCTGTGACACAGTCAGACAGTGCCATAAGCCACAGCTCTTTGAAGTTTTCTTCAGGAGGAATACAGTTGAGTCTTGTTCAACAGTTGAAGATTTGTGTGTGTGCATTACCAGAAATGCTATTTATTTCATCAGTTAAAACATTTGGTCCAGGAGTAAAAGTCAAAATACACTACTTATTACAAATGTCGGTGAGTAGAACACAGAAAATGCTTGACTTGATCATCTGGCACAGGTTTTTAAATAACTGAAAGGCTTTTTCAAGAAAATAAAGTTTTTCTGAGATCAGTAGGAAAATTGAAATTCATAGTCATGGCAGTATGTACTTGTTGAGCCTGCTCCAATTTACAGGAACTCTGTCATCAGTATTGCTATCTGAGCGTTTACTTTGTTCCCTTTATGTTTTTTTTATTAAATGGCAGATTTGTAATCTAGAAAGACACTATTGCAGAGAACAGGTTGTTCTAACAATTGAAAAAAAAGCTGTCTCTTCTTAAATACCTGTCACTGATTTTGTTTACATAAGTTCATGACAAATCTGTCAAACTGCATGTATCAGGAGTGAGGACATTGATAGTGTTGCTGACTCATAATTATGCTCTGGTGGCCCATCCTCCTTTCTTGAGGATTTTTTTGGGTTATAGTTCTTCTTTAGAACTTAAATTACTGTGCTGTTCTGATGAAACTTAACTTCTCCTTGTCTCTGTTATACTTGTCATCTGGTAAATCTATACCAAATTAACATTTAAAGGATTAAAAGAAAGAAGTATTCTGAAAAACCATCATTGTGCCTGTAGCAAACATTTGCCAGACTTCTGGGAAGTTTTGCCACATACAATAAGATGAGAACTTACTACTAAACTTTTGAATTTATCTTGATCAATAAGCATTTGATAAGCTTTCCTTAGTATAATCCTTCAATCCCTTAGCATGGATCATAAACATAAAATTAAAGCTTCAGAGGACAAGTTTTCTAAAGCTCAAGGAGCATCACCACATGAAAGGGAAGATTTTCTCAAACCCTTTGATTAATCTGTCATTGCCCCAGGTGAGCCAAGACTCTTGTGCCCAACCAATGTGTCTGCAGTGTCCTGTTATGGGGACCCTTCACTGAGCAGAGTGGATTGGAGGGCAGTTCAGCTAACCTGTTCAGGGTTACATGCAGACAGAAAGACCCCCTCCTGGGTCTCCACACCTTTAATTAGTCTGTCAGCACCCCAGGAAAGATTCAGGGACACACACCAACAGCATGAGAGACCCCCTCACGGGTCTCCACAGTTGAATATGTTACCTGCTGCTGTCCAGCCTCCCTGCAATGCCATCTCGTGACTCCAGTCATGGATTCGTCCCACCAAGTTTCAGTAGTGAAAACTACGTTGTAGCTTTCTACTCCAGACACCCTGCTGTTAGGAACCAAGAGGGAAACACCAGTGAAATACCTCAAAGGCTTTAAGAAGTATTCCTCTAGGAAGGTCATACAGCTGACAGCCCAGCTGAAGTGCCTCACAACAGTGCATGTGGCACGGCCAACAAACAGGAGGATTAGAAACCATTTGTCTGAACAGTAAAAGAGAACCTTTTTTTTTTGGTTTTCGATTGTTACAAAAGTTTATAGTCTCTAAACCATGCAGAGGGGCTCACATTTTTGCTGAAATGAAACAGTACTATAAAGAAACTTCTATTCTTAATCCGGAGTTAGATTAGAAAACAAAAGGTGTACTAATGAGAAACTCCAAGAATTGTATGCATTTTCAACAGTGAGAGCACAATGTTTCTAAACGTGTTTACATAAACATGTAAACATGTAAACATAATTATAATTATCTGTACGGGTATTTTAACTGTTAAAAATAATCATAAACCTGAGCACCATTCCCCAGCAACACTCCACTTTCACATAGCTCGAAAAGGACAAAACATGTAACATTTGCCAGGATGAAATACATGAATATATTGGGTGGTAGGAGTACAGAAAATTATGCAATTTTAATTAAATTAAAAGCTGACAGCGTGTAACACCTCACATCTGTTGCCTTCCATGAGTACATTGCAGAGATGATCAGATATACAGCTTTAACAGACTGGCAATGTCTGCATAACTGATGATACATTCTAATGATGGCAAGTGATTGAGTTAATGTATTATGTAGTTTATTGCTGTATGTTACCTAAAGACAAGCGGTAAATTTGCTAGCTCTGTTTTTTTGCAGTCAGCATGCCTCATCCCTGACGTTTTTTATTACTTTTTCTTACAAATTCTTTCTTGTGTAATCATCCTCACTAAGCAGGCATGACATTCAGGATGCCTGTTCAGAGGATTCTTTGATAATTTCAGTTTTTGCTAATATGTTAATTTCACCGTTAAGCTTCATCAACTTGTTTGTTTATTTTACTGCAGAATCTGCCCGAGAATTTCAGTGATTGCAAACTCAAAAAGAAGGGGTTAGTGAAGAGGGTTCAGGTGAGTTTTCTTGGTTTGTTTTTGGTGGCAGTTTATTTCCTTTTTTTTTTTTCCCCATTAATGCTGGGCACTTGTACACAAGAGTTTGTGAAAATGAGCTCTTTAGATTTTCTCAGTGTTTGTTCTGACATTGATATTTCTTATGACCTCCCTTTGAGAGGTATTTAATACTTTATAAAACAGCATACAACAATACAGATTTTCATTGTTCATGCTGGTTTCAGATAATGCTTGCCATTTACATTAGTGGTTGGCCTTTTTGCTGTGTGATAATGTTAAATAATTCTTATAAAGTATAACTAGTAAGGAAAACAGGATTGTTCATTCCTTCTTTTTGGCATCTTGGTGGATTGGAGTAATGACTGACGTCTGGGCACAAGAATGCAGTCAGCTGTAACTCCTGCTGACCTACTCCTGACCTTGCCAGAGATGTTCTTTGGAAAATTTAGCTTCTATTGCAATGTACCAACTTTGTATGGAGAGTAGGTCTTTAAAATAAAATCTGTACCGAAGAGCAGCTGGGGGCGAGGGGTTAAGTTGCTTTGCTTTTGTATGATGCTTATAAATTCCTAGGCATTGTTTGCTTAGAGACCTTGAACTGAAGGTTTGTTAATAAATACTGGAATTCAGCCCCCTCCAGTCAAATTTACATAAATGAATGCTAATGCTACTTGTATTACTGTTTTTATTTGTATTGTGCTAGCTTTATTCCCAGGTTAGACTCCTAAAAATTAATTGTGTAAGTACCTGACATTCATATATGGAGTTGAAAGATTCTGTCTTTTACTGTAACCTTATTAAGTACTTCACATTGGTGTTTCACAAGTTTTTTAAAACAGCTATCTATTTTAGAGGAGGGCCTACGAAGAAGCACTTTGTAGTAGAAATGGTTTTAGTTAAAACTTTAGGGACAAAGCATTTGTACTCAGTTACTGAGATAAGTTCAGACAATGCAAATTGGAATGAAGGTGGTTGCTGGAGTAGCTGTGTTATATGGGGCTCTGAACATGCTCTGGATTCCTTATGCCTAACCACAGCAGCATGGACTGATGGCTATAAACTTTGTGGCAAGCTACTAGACCTCCACTCCTGGGTGAAGTTACAGCAGCAGTAAGTGGGGCTTTGAATAAGAATTGCTGTTAAAGTATAAAACAGACTCTGTTGAGCAGAGATCAGAATTACTGATGTGCTTTTATAGGCACAGTGTTCTACAACTGTAGGTCATGAACCCTTTGAGGACTGCAGAAGAATCTTTAGGGGCTGCAGACCAGAGCAGTCAACAACAGTTTGTTTTCCCAGAGCACGAACAAGAAAACAGTGGCAAGTTATGCTTGTTACTCCTAAGTATTCATGAAAGCAAGGGGGAGCTATTAACTGCCTTCTATTGCTGGCAGTCATATATCTTCTAGGATGCGGAAATAAGTATAAAACACTTGCAGCCAGCAGCAGCAGTTGTTATCACCTTGATTTTTTATCCCTCAAGTCCTTAATGACGTAAGTTGATGACGGCTCAAGGGATTGG